CTTATAAATCAAGGGGTTGTTTCTGTGTTATATGCACCGCCACACGAATTAAAGTGAATTTTCATTGATTATGTTTCTGTTTAGAAGGTTTTTCCCCCCACATTCACAACCATATATAATATTTATGCTTTTTCAAGGACGGGTTGTAAAAAAATTATAAACTGTGAACTATATGTTGTTGTTGGGTGGTGGTGTTATACATATATATATATATATATATATATATTGTTCAATAAAAATACAACTAAAATTTTTTTATAGCTAATTGTTTGGGACTTTGATGCACTCACGCATCTATATATATAATTCTTTTATTGAACGAATAACTAATATATATATATATATATATATATTTAAATGAAATGACAATAATATAAAGAATGAGGTATTAATTAGTGCTAGATAATATTGATTATAAAAGTGTTTGATACTTTGATATCCACACATATGTACTTGCAGGTACCATAAGCTTTCTCCAAAACCAAATATTCCTCAAAAACTTCCATTGTAAGATTTTTCTGTTTAGACGATACTTCTTAATAAAGGTATAATTTTAATAGTAGTTTGACATTTGTCTCTCGTAATTACACACAGTCAAGTGCAAGCAGTTTCTCTCATATATGAACATTAATATATATGCGTGGGTATGGTCTCCATGAATTATTGTACCTTATAAAATATTCTGGTAAATCTAGATTCCACATATATATACCCCTTTCATTAAAAAATATAAGGCATATTTTTATGAGTTAGATATTAAAAAATGTAAAATATTTTTAAACTTTTAAAATATAATCATTGTCTCTCTTTTTTAAAAAAATATTCATATTAAATAAAATATTTTATATTTATTTTAGGGTGAGACACTCTATTAAATAAAGGTAAATATAGAAAGATAAGATTAATTTAAAAATAAGTAATTACTTTATTAGGGTAAGATTCGGTTAAAAATATTTTTTTTTTTTAATGGATGGAGTATATATATACACACACACCACGAAAAGTTGACACAGGTGGTTTTGGTACATCAGAGAAAGGTGGAAGATCAAACTAATACTGAATCATATCTCTAAAAAGAGGTTCTATATAAAACCCTTAACATCCCTTAATAGACTGTTGGGGTTAATCTCTCATACAGAATATTTACTTACAGTACTGTGCTTCATGTTGTCTTGATTGATGTGTTTATTTTCATCAAATGATCTTAAAAAAAAATAAAAATATTTACTAGTATTTTTTTCATCAAGTGAATAAATAATTAAAACATTTATAGCTTCGTTTGAATTTAATGCCCCTCCAATTTTTAAAATATATATATAGCAGAGTACTGGGTTTCTTAATTTATCAATAATTTATTGCAATTAGCCTACTATATATCTTTTATCATCATCAACGTCATCATCTTTATTATATAAATTCAGGTAGCAGCCACTATTAAAAAGAAAATTTATGGGAATGCTTCTTTTCAGTCTACCGGAGTGCTCTGAAACTGTTTCGTGTATAGGCGCTCCGGTATTTACAGGTATGTAAAGAAGCATTTTTAAAGCACTTCTGTGGATGTTGATTAAATAATAGGCACGGTACATTAAGTAACTTATACATAGCTAAAATTTGGATGAAACATGGAGAAAAAGACAAATTTATTGAATAATAAAGAATCATGCATGTTGATATTCGTGTGTGTCTATATATATATACACACAAGTTTTGTTGTCTTGTCTGAAATTTGGGCATGTTTGTGTAAGCTTTTTTAGGTGTGGAGAATGTTAAGGTTGATGAAATGCACAGTGCAGGCCATTTTCATGGTGGCCTGCAGAGTGCAGACACTCATGCATGCCATCTATTTCTCTATAATGATAGTGCAAGTCACCATCCATAGCAGCAAACCATAATTATATATTTATATATTCTCAAAATCATCAATATTTATTTATTCCCAAAATATATAAATTATTATGTCATTATATATATATAACCTGGTGAGGGGTTGGGTCCATATATTAATTGATTAGACAGCAATATCAATATATATATATATATATAATGAAACTTTACATTGATAAGTTTTTGGGAAGAACAGTTTGAACTCTGTGTATATACTAACAGTTCATATATAACCCGAAGTACAGAAAGAAAATCTAGCTTGCTATAGAGCCGCATGAGATATATATATATATATATATATATCTGATTGATTGAAAAGAAGTGTTTTTAGGATCTTGGATCTGTGAAAAATAGTCAAATTGATCTTTGGCTAATAATATAATAATATATATAAAGCAGGCAAAACTATAGCATGGCTTATCTGAATGTATATGCGCTTTTCCAAAGATAGGCATGCATTCGCTTGTCAAGTACATCACAAAAGATGAATTGTCCCTTGCCATTGCCACAAAACAATGCAAGGTAAAAAAGATTCTGTCTTCTTTTTTCTTTGCCTAAAAAGATACCCTCTTCTTCTTATCCTCTCTCCCCCCCCATATATATATATATATATATATTTTGGTACCCCTAATTTTGTCCACTTCTTTGTTAGGCGTAGGCATCCTTTATATGGAGAAAACCCCAAATTAAAGCTCATAATATATTTCACTAACTAAAGCAGAGAGGGTTTATTAGAATAAGAAAGTGAAGCGTTATTTAAAAGTGGAAGAGCAGCCATTTAAAAGAAAAGAGGGAAAAATATTTTCGCATATTTATTATAGAATAGTAACTAGTCTCACTAAATCTGTATTTTCACATTTGTTAACCGATGGATAGGGGTGAAATTTGGTCAAATGGTTTGAAAAATATGGATTGTCATTTTCAATGGTTAGATAATTAATTTGTAGGATGGTGTAAGAGTTATTTAGTTCAACATTTAGCCTCTGGTTTATGTGTGTTTTTCATATTAATATTCTTAATCTTTTACTATAAACTCGTTCATTTGATTCTTTGATTGGCTGTTTAACACTTATTTATGCATCTAATGATCTGATTGAGACTCTTTCATACCCTTATTTTGATCATATATAGTGAAGTTTTCATTGATCTAATGATCAATGTCTTTTACCTTTGCATTGAAGGATTTTCGTGTAAATTATTTTTTTATATTGATGTCTCTTATTGTGATCATGCTATTTAATTTCTGCCACAAATTTATTTAATTGCTTCATAGAAATTCTTGCAAAGTGGTGAGAATTTATTATCAGCGCGCGGATAAATTATAATTGGGATGTGTTTTTCTGGTTATTCTTATTATTGGGAGGCCCTTCTAATAATTAATCACTTCATAATAAGTGAAATAAACATGTATCGATGCCCTGGAAAAAGAATGACAAGTACGTATAAGGTAGGGATAATGATATTCAAGGCCCTCTTGAGAGAATTTATTACAAAAAATCTCATTCAGTTTCATATTGGATACTGTTTTGTAAAATCACATTTTAACTTGTTAAATTTTTAAAGAAAATCCTAATAAAAATATAAATTAAGATTCAACTTTTAACAATAACATATTTATGCTTTTACGAGATAATATCTAATGAAAAAAAAAATGATTGGACCTTACTATAGCAAATTTACTTAAGAGAGTCCTAAATGTCATTCCACCGAACTAATAACAATAATGGAAGGAAGAGAAACTGAATTGAGAGGACACTCTTGTCTGTTGACATGAACGCAGAAACTTTGAATTGGACCCGTTTCTGTCATACATACATACATACATACATATATATATAATGTGGTGTGAGGTGAGGTTTGGTGGAAGGTGTACGTAGGCCAGCAGTGGCAGAGGAAGAAAAAGAAGCGAATAAGGAACACAAAAGACACGGAATATGCTGGGTACGGACGGGGGCTCGACTTAACACGTGTCCATCACTGGTCAATACTCCAATACACACATACACACTATTACACGAATCACTAGATGCCAAACTTCCCTTATATGTGTTTCTTCCTAGCCTGTCTCACTTATCCGGATAAAGAAATAGGGGTTGTGTTAAACCTTTAATAGTTATAAATACCAAAGCTCTATCTTATTTTATTGAATAAGAACCGCTTACTAAATGAATGATACGACACCAAACTTTTCTTGTGTTTCTCGATAGCCGGTCTCAAATTCGAACAATTAAAGCGGATTCTGTTAAACGTCAAACTTCTCTTATGTTTCTTCATAGTCCGTCTCAAATCTGGATAAAGAGATTAAAGAGGGTTAACTGGACATATATTAAACCCTTCAACAGATATACAACTGTATCAAATCTTTATACTGTATGACATATATGCGGAATCCAAATCTTGTTTCACTGATCAATTAGAACAAAACAACATGAATCACACAACACCAAGCTTCACTTATGTTTTTTCTTAGCCGCACTACTACAGAATATATCTTTAGGAGCGGGTATTTAGGAGCGCTTATTTAAAAAGCGCCCCAAAATGTGAATGCGGAATTTACCGGAGCGCTTTTCTAAATAAGCGCTCTTGTATGTCAGGCTTCACAATAAGATAACGCACCTAATTAATATATATAAAATATGATAAAAAATTTAAAAATACCTTCGGGAGCGCTCGTACTTAAGCGCTCCGGAAGACAGCAAGAAAACCTTCCTACGAAGCATCTTCCGGAGCGCTCGAAGAAGAGCGCTCCGGAAGATATAAGTCTTCCGGAGCGCTCGACGAAGAGCGCTCCGGAACAAGCTCTTCCGGAGCGCTCCATAATGAGCGCTCCGGAAGAGTCTTCCCACTCTTATATACATCCGTCAGTTTTCTTTTCTCCATTTAGTTTCTTTTATACCTCTCTCTCTTTTGTTGCCTCTCATTCCTTCTCTGTGTCGCGCCTCTCTCTTTGTTTCTGTGCCGCATTGTCGTCGCTGTCACCGTCCTCCCCTGCATCGCTGTCGCCGCCGCCATCACCGTCCTCCCCTGCGTCGTCGTCGCCATCCGTCTCCGCGTCGCCGTCGCCGTCCGATCTCTGCGTCGCGTCGCTGCCTGGTCTCTGCGTCGCCGTTGCTACGCCTCCATCTGTTCTGCTGTTCCAGATCTGCATCTCTGTTCCAGATCTGTATTGCTGTTGCAGATCACCATCCATCTATTCTGCTGTTTGCTGTTTGCTGTCTGCTGTTTGCTGTTCCAGATTTGCATCTCTGTTTCAGATCTGTATTGCTGTTGCAGATCTGTGCTGCTGCTGTACACCGGAGGAAGGGACGCCGTGAAGACCTCCGTTGCCGCTGTGCGTCGCTGCTGTACAGCAGAGGAATCGACGTCGCTTCTGCAGTGAAGACTACACTTTGAAGGTATTTTTTTTAATAATTAATTTATATATATTTGAGAATAAATTTTAAATATTTTTTTAATAATAAATATTATAGAAAATATATGAATTGAAGTTATTTATATTAAAATTATGGAGTATTTGTAGTTGATAATTTAGATTAAATTTGAGGAAACTACTTGAACATTTTTATTTTATTTATGAAATATACTTTTATGAGAGATTATTGTTATTAATTAAATTACAATTGATTGACAGAATTTAGATACATTATGGTACTAAATTTTTATTTGGATGAATTGATTTATTTAGTTTAGATATATTGTGTTGTGAAATTTGATTGTTTGATCATTTGAGAGATTATTCTTTTAAGGAAGATACTGTTGAATTTTTTTTATAGAAATTTAAGTCTTTTGTTTATTGAATTTTGGTAATCATATTAGTGACATGGATCGTAAGTGGATGTCGGCTAATCGACTATCTAGAGAATATTGGGATGGTGTAGATGAATTCATTGAATTTGCATTTTGTCGTGATCAAGACCCCCGTGGAGTCATATGTCCTTGTTTGAAATGTTGCTATGGAAAAAGAGTAAAGCCAATAGAATTGAAAGATCATTTAATATGTAATGGGATTGATCCAACTTATACTTGTTGGACCATGCATGGGGAGAGAAGGAATAATGCAAGTGATTGGAGGGATAGTGCGAGCTACTCAACATTTGATCGTGATAGTGGGATATATGATGTTGACCGTCTTGATGAAATGATTGATGTGATTGAAGAGGATCTTAGAGACTGTCCTGAGATGTTTGAGAGATTGAAGAGTGATGCTGATAAACCATTATACCCCGGTTGTAAAAAATTCACAAAACTATCAGTTATTTTGAAACTATACAACCTAAAAGCAGCGAATGGATGGAGCGATAAGAGTTTCACGGATTTGCTTGAACTCTTATATGAAATGTTACCTGAGTACAACGAGCTTCCACCTAATACTTACGAAGCTAAAAAAGTGCTCTGTTCTATTGGGATGAGCTATGAGAAGATACATGCATGTCCAAATGATTGTGTCCTCTTTCAGAAAGAGTATTCAACCTTAGATAAGTGTCCAAAATGTGATGCATCACGGTACAAAAGAAATGGATGTAGCCCAGCGAAGGCATTGTGGTATTTTCCAATCATACCAAGATTTAGACGCCTATATAGCATTGCAGAAGATGCTAAACACTTAACATGGCATGCTGATGAGAGAATTAAGGATGGCAAGCTACGGCACCCTGCAGATTCTCCTCAATGGAAAAAGTTTGATCTTATATACCCTGAGTTTGGGGTTGAAGATAGAAACTTACGCCTTGCACTAGCCACTGACGGAATGAACCCACATGGCATGCAAAGTAGTACTCATAGTACATGGCCGGTTATTTTGATGATCTACAATCTCGCTCCAGCATTGTGCATGAAGCGCAAATTTATGATGCTGTCATTGTTGATTTCTGGGCCTCGACAACCAGGAAATGATATAGATGTGTACTTAGCTCCTCTGATTGAAGATCTGAAGATTTTGTGGGAGACAGGTGTGGAAGTTTATGATGGGTATAGAGAAGAACATTTCATCCTGCGAGCAATGTTGTTTGGCACCATAAATGACTTTCCTGCCTATGGCAATTTATCAGGATACAGTATCAAAGGACGAGATGCATGTCCAGTATGTGAGGAGCACACATGTTCAGTGCGGTTGGAACATTGTAGGAAGAATGTCTTTATTGGTCATCGACGATTTTTGCCGCAAACACATCATTACCGACGACTAAAGAAGGCCTTTAATGGCCACCCGGAGAAGGGTAGAGTTCCCATGCCATTAACTGGTGAGCAGCTTTTTGAAAAGGTCAAAGATTTAAATATTGAATTTGGAAAACCATTTGCAAGTAAGATTGTTAAGAATGGTTGGAAAAAGAAGTCCATATTCTTTGAGCTACCATACTGGAAGACCCTAGATGTTAGGCATTTCCTGGATGCAATGCACATCGAAAAGAATGTCTGCGATAGTTTGTTGGCACATTACTCCACATTTCAGGAAAGAGTAAAGATGGAATTAATGCAAGGATGGATTTGATTAGCATGGGGTTAAGAGAAGAGTTGGCACCAGAGAGGAAGGGAAAACGCACTTTTTTACCTCCAGCAGCTCACACCTTGTCTAGAAAAGAAAAATTAGCTTTCTGTGAATTCTTGCATGAAGTTAAAGTGCCAGAAGGATATTCTTCAAATGTAAGTAGCCTCGTATCCATGAAAGACCTCAAACTAGTAGGTCTCAAGACTCATGATTGTCATGTCATCATGGAAAATTTATTGCCGGTTGGTATACGATCCATTTTGCCGAAGAAGGTGCGAGCCACGATTACTAGATTTTGTTTCTTCTTTAAGGCAATTTGTAGCAAGGTGATTGACCCAGAAAAATTGCCAAAGCTAGAACATGAAATAGCTAAGATTTTAAGCGAGCTGGAAATGTATTTTCCGCCTTCGTTCTTCGACATCATGGTTCATTTATCATTTCACTTAGTTAGAGAGATAAAGTTGTGTGGCCCCGCTTATTTGAGATGGATGTACCCAGTAGAGCGTTACTTGAAAGTATTAAAAGGATATGTAAAAAATCGAAGTCGGCCTGAGGGGTGTATTGTTGAGAGGTACATCATGGAAGAAGCAGTTGAATTATGTACTGGATATCTCTCTAATGTGGATGCCATTGGGTTGCCAAAGTACACAAAAGACACCACAGGTGAACAGGGTGGAATCATTGGGAAGAAACTCATTAGCATAGACAAGACACAATGGGAGCAAGTTCACTTGTATGTTTTACACAACACTGAGGAAGTTCAACCATATATCAACGAACACAAGGCAATAGTTAAGAGTCAGAATAAAGGTAAAAATGAAACATGGCTAGCAACATATCACAACCGGCACTTTATATATTGGTTTAGATCTCGCATCTCTGAGGAGTCTCACCCATCAGAAAGGTTGAGGTTTTTGGCTAGGGGTCCTGGATTTGAAGTATTTTCTTATACAGGTTATGTAATTAATGACTTTACATTTTATACAAAAAGTCAAGATGCTCGGAGCACTATGCAGAATAGTGGTGTAACGCTTAAAGCTCAATCAATGCATGTCTCTAGTTTTAAAGACAAGAATCCAATCTATGCAATGATGTCATATTTTGGGATTATAGAGCACATTTGGGAATTGGATTATATCAAGTTTCGTGAACCTGTCTTTTGTTGCACGTGGGTTGACAATAAAAACGGCTTTCGAATTGACGAGTTAGGTTTTATTCAAGTAGATCTTAATAAGGTGGCTCATAAAGATGAACCATTCATTTTGGCATCACAAGCTCGACAAGTGTTTTATGTGTCAGATCCAGCGCATAAAAATTGGTCGATTGTTCTTTTAACAAATAAAATAGTGGGTAATGAGGAGGATGAAGATTTCAATGTTGAGGATGACCCTTTCATGGGAACATCACGGACATTTGATGTTTCAACTGGGGATAATGCCTTCTATATTAGAGAAGATCACGCGAAAGGGATTTGGATTGATGAGGGATATGTAGAACACACAAAAGAAAAAACAAAAAAAAAGAAAAAATAAATTTTAACACTTGTAAGTTCTTTATTTAAATTTTCTTTTAATTGTTAAAAATTTATTTTTAGTTAAATTTTTTTTTGTTGTTAAAAATTTACATTTTTCCTTTCAGATATATGGCTACCCCACCTGAGAACAGTGGTGATGCTCCACCCACTGAAGAAGAAGCATTCAAGGAGGTTAAACGGGGTAAAACTGTTATGAAAGCAGTAATACGGGCTCGAGCAGCTGGTCGTAAATTACCAGTAAATTGGAATGATAGGGGCCAATTAGTTAAGTCTCCTCAGTTGGCCAGTTACATAGGGGTCTTAGCTCGTCATTATGTTCCCTGTTGCATTGCAGACTGGAGAAAGAAAAATGACCCACAGCTTGAAGAAGCAAAAAATAATATATGGGAAGATTTGTGTATATCTTTTGACCTGGATGAGAGTCATAGGCATTATATCATGAGAAAAGCAGCATATGCTCATAGAAAGTTTCGAGCTACCCTCACAACATATCATCTAAAAGATGCAAATGAAGAATTCAATCCTCATCCTCCTAAAATGTATCCAGAGATCCAGCAAGAGCATTGGGATGAATTTATTAAAATGCGCCAACAGCCTGAATTTCAACAGATCAGCCAGGTCAATCGCTCTAGAGCCGCAAGTACTCCTTTTCAATATAGAGCAGGAAGAAAGAGCTATCCAGATATTGAACATAGTTTGGTGAGTTTCAATTAATATCGTCTGTTGATATTACTTATATATATATATATATATATAAGGAAATGTTTTTTAATTATTCTAATATCTTCTTTAAATAGAGGGAAGAAGTTGGACCTAATGCTCCAATTTCTCGAGCTCTTGTTTGGAAGACTGCTCGAGAAGATAAAGAAGGCAAATTACCTGATGAACGCACTCGAAAAGTCTGGGAGGATTGTGTGAGTATTAATATTTTAGTGTATTACTTTATTTACATTATTTACTTATAATTAGTTTACAATTTGTTCAACAGGAAGCATTATCACAATCAATATCACAAGATGATGTGGGGGAGCATGTGGATGTCCTTGGTAGGGCATTGGGAGCTCCAGAGGTCTCTGGTCGTGTTAGAGGAGTTGGATTTGGCATTTCTCAGGGCACCTACTTTGGACGTCGGTCTAAAATTTTTACTGAAGATGATTTTAATGCAAGGATGGCAGAAATGGAGGCGAGAATGGAAAAAAAATTTCAAGCTCAAATGGAAAAGAGATTTGAGCAAATGATTGGAGTTATAAATATGCCACAAGGTAGCCCCAGTGATAAAGATAGTTGCTCCTTCCATACTAAAGAAGACTTTCCTAAGGTTATAATTTTTCTTTCTATTATCTTCTCTTTATTCACAAATTATGTTTCACATTTTTTTAAGATATTAATTTTTAATTTTTAGGGCGAGTCTCAATGTCAATTATGGTTAGAATCACCACATTGTCGTGTTGTGGCAATCGGATCTGTGTATAATGATAATAGTGTTACTATACACTCCAGACCATTGCTTGCTGATCACTTAAAGGTGACTATAACTATTCCAATAGAAAATGATGCTGAGTTGCCAGTGCAAATAGAAGATGAGGATATATTCACGATTTTTGATGCCGTTGGAACTTATGTGGCTTGGCCTTCAAAGCTCATTAAGTTACAGGTATAATAATTGATGGTTCTTTAAAATCATTCATGTTTTCTTACGGCCTTACCAATCCATTTTACATCTTGTAGTCCTCAAAATTTAAAGAAGTTGTAAAAAAGCCAATCAAAGCGAAAGAAAAGCCATCGAAAGGATCTACCTCTGTGACTAAGGCAAGGAAGACCAGCACAGAATCTACTCAGTTGAAATATCCTCATCAAAATGCACTTGAAATGATTATGCGGACAACATTGAAAAATGAGATTCGTGAAGTAGAATTTGAAAAGGAGATTTATGGTGAAATAATTAGCGAAAAATTAGCAGCTGAAAATATTAACGAGATTCTGACCAAGGATTGGCTACAAACAACACAAATTAGTTTATACATCAGGTACTTTCTCAATTTTATTACTTATTGTGGTATTTATTTAATTTTAGTTGTGAATGATTCTATTTTTTTTCATTTTAGGTACTTATATCATACTTTTGTGGTGCCGGGCTCATTGATAACAAAATTTTCATTTATTAGCCCGCACAACACTAGTACCTACAGTGTTGAGTACCATTCTCAAAAGATTACTGATGCATTCAAAGTCAAAGGCAAAAGAAACATGTTATTTTTAGCTCCTCACAATCCAGGGTAAATTGTTATTATTGTTTATTTTTAACTTTAGTTGATATTTTAGTTAATGAACTATTTTATTTTTTCAGGCAACATTGGGTGCTTGTTTGTATCAATCCATTCGTCCCTGTGATTTATTATCTTGATTCATTAAGAGATAGTGACTTTAAGAACTACAAATCTATGAGGATATTATTTAATCAGTAAGTTTTTAGTTCTATATTCTTTATATATGTTTATTATAATAATTAATTTTTACTTGGTATGCTTAATCATTATATAATAGGGCTGTAGCACGTTATCGAGGAGGTGAAGGTCTCCCTCCAAACACCGAAAGACCTGATCCTGTTGAGTTTTATTCTTGGAAAAGAATAAAGGTTTGTATTATTTTCTTAATAAAACAAGTTGGTACATATCTAAATGATTGTTTGATTGATATTTTATGTTTGTTATTCTGAATATGTTGTTCTGGATTGATGTAGAATTTTTGGAAAATTCTGGAACTTCCAAGTTATAGGGGAGACTCTGCCGGATTTTCGACAGCAAATACTTGTATCATATATATAACTTCATCACTGAAGTATTTTAAATTAAGTTAGAATTTATTTCTACCATATAAATGACATCTTTTATTGTTTTATAGGTACCTACACAATTACAAGGTTGGGAGTGTGGATACTATGTTATGAAGTTTATGAGAGAAGTAATCACACAACAAGAGTTGATCATTCCTGAAAATGTAAGTCAAAAGCTTTGAAATTAAGTTAATATAATATTAATTACTTATATATTGCTTTCATATCTTGTGTAGTATTTTGTTGGAGCAAGATATTCACATTTTACTATGGAGCAAATAGAAATTTAGTTGAAGAATGGTCAGAATATATTATTGGCTGTTTGTGATAGGAAGTTAGATTTCAATATTAAAAAAATAACAATAGTTTCATTTGTTAGGCTTGTTAGAAATTAAACTAGGTTAGTTGGAAAATTGAAATTGTTGTATCAGTTTCAAATTTTTTTCTTGTATATAAAATTTTTATGTTGATATTATTTTTAAATTAGTTTTTGATATTATGATTTGTCATTATTAAAGATATTTAAAAGGAGAAATTTAAAAAATTTAATTTTAAAAAAATAAATATAATATACGGGAGCGCTCATTTGAAGAGCGCTCCTGTAAAGAAACTTACGGGAGCGCTCTTTTAAAGAGCGCTCCGGTAAGTTCAATACAGGAGCGCTCTTGTAAAGAGCGCTCCGGTAAGGTTACATACGGGAGCGCTCCTATAGAGAGCGCTCCGGTATGCATCAGCTCTTACATAAAGCGCTCCCATACATGACGCGCTATTACGGGAGCGCTTTTCTAAAAGCGCTCCTGTATCGCTTACATACAGGAGCGCTTAAAAAAAGCGCTCCTGTAAATTTCGGAGCGCTTGATATGGGAGCGCTTCAAAAGCGCTCCCTAAGGTAAAAAAAAAGCGCTCCTGTAAGCTTATTTTGTAGTAGTGCCGGTTTCAAATTCGAAAAAAGAAAGAGGGTTGTGTTAATTAAACTTGCAACAGATATAAAACTCTATCAAGTCTCTATACTGTATCACACACACACACACATAAAACACAGCATCAACAAATCCTATTTCACCGAAGTGCTACATGAATCACATGATACCAAACTCGCTCCTATGATTAATTCTTCATAGCTAGTCCTAAGTTCAGAAAAAAGAGAGAGAGTTGTATTAAACATTTAACAGACGTTCAACTCAGTTGATAATCTCTATGACAAAGATCAAAGTCTAACACATATGTACAATAAAAATGGAAGGAAGAAAGGGTGATTTCAGTGGGGGAGAGACAAGAAATGAATTGAAGAAGAAACATAGAAGACATATAGTGTTGAGAGAGGCCGTGGGGTGGGGTCTGAGTTTGGAGGGGCAAAGAAAAGCAAAGCAAAGGCGTGCAGAGAGTAGTGGGCAGTGCACCGACCGACCCTCTTTTATTATCCAAATTGCCAAACAGCATATTATACTTAAAGTTAACATAAATATAGAGACTCTCATTATCTAAACAAGTAGTTGTGAATTTAAACTTTAATTATAATATATGTAATAATTTAGTTAATAGAAATTTACTCATGTCTTTTAATACTTTTGGAAAAAATACTATCTACTGTTGATAGATCCTACCCTTTGTGTGTACTTAAAAAAAAGGTAAAAGGGCGTCAACTCTGTCTCTGTATATATGTTATTAATTTTCGTGGCCTCTCCTGTACTACCCTACCTCTATATATATTCTTACTTTCTTTGTCCATTTTCATCTCTCACCTCTTGCATCCGCACGTGCGCGCGTGCTTCCCCGCTAATGCAACTCTTTCATTTTCCTATTTATGACAATGAAAGGCTACTTGAATCATTACCCTCTTTTGTTATTAGCTAGCCATGTCAAATTTAACATCATCATGCTTGCGTTTATGAATTGATTATTGCTCCCTTAATGAATGCCTCTTAATTAATTGAGATTAATAACTCTGCTAATAATTAATATTTTAATTATGTTTGAGTTTTGTCAATGCAGTAATGTTAATGCAATGTTTGATAGGTAGATAAATGTTTTCTAAAATGGTAAGTACCTATCTCATTTTCTTTTTTGATATATTATCCATTTTCTTTTAGAAAGAAAAAAAATTAACTTTTTATTGTACCAAACATGCACTAAGTTTTGTTATTTCTGTTCATGGACGATGCAAAGTTTTTATTGAATTTAAAAATCTTGTAGGGTTTTACCACATGACATGAGGCTAGCTAAAGGATGGGATGTGAGGTAGACATATGATGCGTGTCTTGTGATTTAACTATTGGCCTTTCCTATCAAACGTTACAACATCATATATGGAAGAATCATTATATATAGGGGAAATGAAAATTTTGATTCCGAAACTTTTCATCCTTTATCGATTTGATTCCTATAACTTATTTATTATCAATCTCTATGTAATTTCATGATCATACAAAATAGTCCTTATAGTTTGAAACAATATTGTAAGAATGACATGCAGCAAACGATGTTAATTTCATAACCATATAAAAGTTACCTCTGAACTTTTTCCCCAATATGGAATGTTTTCATTTTCTCTACGTCGTTTTCAAACTGTAAGGACTAGTTTTATATGATTATGAAACTATTAGAATGTGAGTGATAATAAATGAGTCATAAGGACTAAATAAATAATTAAGGGAAAATTTAGTGATAAAATTCCATTTTTCCTATACTACTTTTTTTTTTAAATAAACCGCTGTTCTATCATATATAGTAATAAATTATTCTTGAAGGTTATGTAGATCCATCTAATATCATAATATTTAAAACATTAAATTATAGATTACAGAAAATTGATATTGATATTATTCTTTTGGAACACTTTATTTGCTTTGAAATTTAAAAAAGGGTTATTATTTATAAAACTTTATAAGAGGATGATAATTTTCCATCCAATAATATGGGGACTACTTGGAAGATTTATTGATCCCGAATAAAAATACAATTCAGAATATTGTTAGAGAACTACTTGCATGGTGTCACTATAAGGGTATGAGTTTATTGAATAGTTCCATGAGACAATATAAATATGAAAAAGGTAAAAGATGAAGAAAGTCGATTTCAACTCATAGGTTCCTAAGGATTGCAAAATAATGTGTGCCATATATATACATGTAAAATAATTGGTAACTACATAATAAGTGGAATATATATTGTCTCTACTTTACTCCCCACTATAGCAACCCCAACTTTATTGTTTATTATTTCACAGATTCTTGTTTATTAGCTGAGGTCACCTTCCTTATTATTGTGCTTATTGTCTTGTTTCCTTTAGGATAAGCTCCACACTCATCCCTCATACCTTTTCTCCTCATCATCATCTATCTAACCCCTCTTCTATAATATTATCTTTAATTTTCCTATTATTATTATTATCTATATATAATCTTGCAATTTGAAGTTTTATGTGATTGTATAATTAAAAATATGTATAAACTCTTGTTTCATGAGAAAAACCCATATATATGTGTGTGTGTAATTAATTATTGAAGACATTCAAGAGATGATATCGGTTTGAATTTTTTAAATTAAACTTCGCAACCCCTTTTTTTATAATCATTGACTAGTTTGACAAAATTAAATGCCGGTAATTAATATAATATAAAAAAATTACATCCAATCTCCTCCTAAAAGAATTAATTACAGATAAAGATCAACAATAAATCTCATTCAAGAACAAATAAGTCATATTCTTATTTTAACAATAATTTATTTTGTATGAATTTTTATTTGTGATTAATTCCCTTAAAGGGAGCGAGCCGTAATTTTTTCTATAAAAAATTACGATCTTGTTTGGTTATTGTACTTTTAAATTTAATGTAAATTTTTTAATTTAAATTAATTTGTTATCTTTCAAATTGCAGATTTATCAATGAGTATGCATATTTACTACTAGAAAAGTTAAAATCGGTGATGAACAAAATTGGTCACTAACAAGAAAATTTTTTTCTCTCCCTAAAATTTTTTCCACCTTCATTTCAAATTTTGAAACGTTTATTTATATTTTTATCTATATAATATCTTTAGTCTTTCTTATTTATTAATAGAATTGTCCCTTTCTCTCAAAAAATATCGTGTGTGTGTGTGGGGACAAGCGCTCGGGCATGCCACGAGATGAATAATAATATCAATTAAATAATGAAGAATCTACTAATAAAAAATAGGAAAAATTAATATATTTAGTTTTATATACTTAAAGTATTTTTTATTGATAAAAATACTTATTTTTAATTAAATTTAGACATGTGAATCATTTATATACTATTTATTCTTAAAGATTCTTATTATTGATATTACTAACACATTAAAATCAATTTGATTTGATTAGATAAAAATATATTAAATATATAAAATTAAGTATCTAAGTTGATCTTGCTCTAAATAATAATAAAATTGTTTTGTAGCTGTGGACAGAGTGAAGTGAAGTGTATGTATATATATATATATATATATATATTAGTTTAAATCATCTGTATTTAATTAAGCACGATTTGTTATCAAAGAAAAATGTCGAAGATGGAAAGCTAATAGAATTTTTAATATTAAAAAAATTATTATTTTTATTCTGATAGTATATATTTTACTCCAAGTATGTCATTCTGCTAGTCATCATCATATATTATATGCTACAACCCGACACGCAATTCTAATTTTAATTAATAAGGTCACAATCCACTAACGATATGTGGCTGTACATGTCTTATAATTATAAGTTGGATTTATTTTTACTTTCTTAACAAATAATCCAACTTTTTTTTGGTCAGAATAACATGAACCAACTTTTCCTATATCATGCCTAGCCATTGTTTCATATCATGATTAACAGATGTCAATAAGCTATCATGTCCTTTGTCACTAAGTTTTAAACCAATTGACTTCAGCGAGAATGACATATATATCTCAAGAGATCAATTAATTTAACTTAAATTTTAAATATTAAATTTTATAAAGTTATAAGTTTAATTTTTGATTTTACATTTTTATTATGATAAATATGTAATTTGTATTTTAAATTTTAATAAAAAATAAATTTATTTATTCATCAATCATATTAAAATTAAAAATAAATTATAAATTCATCACTAAATTAAAAGTCAAA